TTATCCCCTGTTTGTACCTCCTTTTCCCTTGACTGAGTTGTGAGCCGCCCTGAGTCCCCTTGGGGGGGGGGGGAAGGGCGGCATATAAATGAAATAAATTCTAATCCTAACCCTAATCCTATATAATCCTAATCCTCGCTCTCGCTCCCTCCCTCCCCCCTCCCTCTATCTCTCTCTCTTTTTTAAAAAAAACCCAAATAATTATTTTTGATGAGTCCCGGCGCTCCTAAATTTGCAAAGTTCTCCCAAAACGCGTTTACTAAGCCAGCACTTTTCCTCCTGGTCCATTCTAGCCGGCGACGGAGGGCGTGCGCGCTTCTGGACCGAGGCCTGGAGGCGGGCGCTTGTTTGGCCTTTTCTCGCCAAGGGAAAGGGAGGCGGGCGGGCGGAGAGGGAAAGGAAACGAAGCGGGAGTTATTCGCCGGTGGCGGCAAGAGAAAAGAGCGAAGCCCTGGCGGCTCGCTCCTTTCCTCTCCCGAGGGAGAGAGAGAGAAGCGCAATTCGGGTGGAAGAACTCATTCCCTGGAGAAATCCGGGAGGTCGACCAAACGGGTGCGCGCGGGAGTTTTCCCCGCGCCTGTCCCGCCAGCGGTGGGACGGTGGCATAGATAGGGCGTGCTTCCCGTTTGCCTGCAGCTGGCAGGCGAGAGCTGCCTTGCAGCCTTCCTCCTGGGTTGCTGAATCAGGTTGGGATGAAGCAAGGAGCGGTCAGTATCGGCGGCTGAAAACCAGGCGAGCGCGCCGTCGGTGGTTGGAGACCGCCGGGACCACCTCGACTCCTCCTCTGCCGTCCCACCCTGGACACTCCCGAGTCTTGGCCCGGGCGACGTGTGCCATGGGCTCGCCCTCCTCCTCCCTCCAATACTGCCTCTTGGAGAAGACTCCTTGAGTCCCGGGTTCTCTTTTCCACCTCCGGAAAAGGGACGCGGGAGGGACGAGTAACGCTTGAACCCGGCTCTGCCTAAGGAAAATGCGAGCCGGGGGGTTGCTGGCCGCCGGTTTCTCCGTGCTCAGCCTTCTCGCTCAAGGTTATCTAGCTGGGACGACGGCAGAAGACCCCGAGGAACCCAACGGGACAGCCAAGTTGGAAGAGGAAGACTCCGGGACGCCGCCTCCCCCTTTCCAGCCGCACCTCATCTTCATTCTGGCGGACGACCAGGGCTTCAGAGACGTTGGTTATCACGGCTCAGAGATTCGGACTCCAACCCTGGATAGACTCGCCGCCGAAGGAGTTAAGCTAGAGAATTACTATGTCCAACCCATGTGCACCCCGTCCAGAAGTCAGTTCATCACTGGGAGGTAGGTGATATGGGTGTGTGTGAGATCATTAACTTGATCCCAATGACCTTGTCTGGGGAAAAACATATTTGTTTTATTTAATAGAATAGTCTTAAAAAAACAGTTTGATGTACTTATGTGCTCTTTTATTTCTTGGACACCACACGAATTTGAGGATCCTAAGCATCAATTGAGCACAATTCCAAAAATAACTGCTCAGAATTAAGTCTAGTTGAATTTAGTGGGTGGGCTTGCTTCCAGATAACTGGGAATCTTATTTTGCTCATGAGAGAATCTTATGAGGTCATTTTCTTTTTAAAGCATCACAACTCCACATTGTTGGCATTTGTTACAGACTAACATGTCACACCTGGAAGCAGGGACTTTAACCAATAGCTGTACTTTGTTAAATCCATCCTTTCTTAGGTAGATGTTGTAACTTAAAATTACCGATTTCATAATATTTCAATAGCATGTAATTTACATAGAAGTACTTCAGTGTTTTTGTCATTCTGTTCATGTCAATAGTATCAGATTGTTTTTTATTTGTCTTAAATACTATTCTTCATTTTTATGAAGTACAAACAATGTACAACAATAAAAAATATGCCAAAACAAAAATCAAACTAAATTAAGCAATCCATAATAAATAAAAAAGAAGAAAACAAATCAGGAAAAAAGCTTCCTTATATATTAAACTACAATCACTAGCTTACAAAAAATAATGTACAATATGATATTATAATCCAATGGAAAATATTGCAAAATATCTTAAAATCTATGCCAAGAGGGGCGCATCCTTTCATCTTTTGATTAGCATGAAAGAGATGTTACACATTTCCAAAGGCAAACTATCCGGAATAATATCACTTTTCTAATTTCTCAGTATTATCCTTTTAGCCATCACAATGCCTGGTACAACTATATTTCCTCTTGGACAGTTATTTTAAAGCTTTGGTATATCATTGATGGTCACATTGATATCTTTAAAGTTTAGCAGTTTCCCCATAAAACTACTTATGTAACTTAAAATACAAGTCCTCAAGTATCAAAGATTCACAGGATCGTATTATATGAATTAATGAAACCAAAATTTTTGAACATCTCTAACCAAGAAAATCTTATCTTCATCTTTTACAGTACATCCTTTGGGGAACCTAACACATTCTAAATACATTTCTTATTAATCAGCTTTTTATCAACACCGTTTACAGATGAATCTATTAATGGGGCAATACTGGAGATTCCAATTCTTTAATCCATGTTTAGTATATTCCAGTAATATCTGCTGTAAAAACATTCTTGAACTTTTGATAGATACGTGGCTGGTTTGACTTCTGTTGTAAATTCCATCAAATAGGAAAGCATCACAGGTGCCTCTGAAGCAGCCAAAGTTTCTAGCCAGAATGAGTCATTAAATGTGCTTAAGTTGAAAATACTGCCACTGTTGTGAGCTAAGAACGCCCAATTCTCTTTAAAGTAAGGAAAAAAGCCTTATATAAGAATTTATTAAAGTTGCTATCCTGGCTTCCACACATATTTTCCAATAAAATGTTTACAACCTATTTAAAAGTAGAATTTTTCCAAAGAGTTAAAGATTCATAATGAGAACCTGTCTACACCACAATATAGCCCAAAGTTTTTTCCCCAGCCTGTAGTCCTGGAAATAAGACTCCTTATCTACTAGAAGTTCTAAGAAATTATACCATTACTGTTGAAGGTATAAATAACAATTTTCCAGCAAAGAAAATGCTTTTCATAAAGCATTATGATTGATTATATTTTCACTTACATACAGAGCCAAGGTGGCGCAGTGGTTAAATGCAGCACTGCAGGCTACTGCTAGATCAGCAGTTCAGCGGTTCAA